TTTAGTAGTAGAATGATCTTATGATAGCGTTGACATAATTTACTGCTCTCGGGTTAAAAGTTAGTGTGTGACAGACGGTATATAAAGTTGTAATTATTTTGTTTCACTTATTACTTACCCCTTAGTGCTTTCTACTTCACGGATTATTAAAAAAGGAATTGCGGTGGCCTACAATAGGTTTTAACATAGTTGCTATTCTCAGCTAGGCTTAGCTGGAGTTCTTTTATCATTTTATTTCTTCACTTTTTACTCACTTTTATTTTTCGAATAATCCTGAAAGCACTTAAATTCACTGCAAATGCTTCGTTTTGGCCAAACGAATGATTTTTGCGCGAAATATATAAATGAAACAAAGTCTTTCTACCTCATGTACCTGCGTTCGCAGTAGTGGTTGGGAAATACGACAAATTCTTGGCAGAACCTCCCAGAAAGGCGCGACTCTTCCTTTTAGTTAGTAGTCGTAGCAGTCAAGCTAAGTTCTCCTCAATGTAGAAATGTTGATTTTATTTCACAAACATTATCACCAAGCTTCATAAAATAATCAGAGGAGAGTTGAAAAGATGTTCGAAAGATGTAAAGAATGCCAGGTAAGACAATTGTAATACCGGCGTATCCGAAAAGTGACAAAACATCTTCATATTTAATAGTGATCTTCTCAGGGCTCCGTTGATTTGCGTCGGAAACATTTTGAACTGAGAACTTAGAAAAAAAAAAAGGTTTATGGTAGTATGTTAATTTTTTGAGATAATTGTGCACGGAACCGAGGTGTTTATTAAAAGGGTTAAGTAAGTCATTTTTTCAGTGTTCACTTCTTTCAATAATTCTTTTCACAAGAAAAACTTGTTTACGGATGAAATCACTCAGATACCATGATCTTACTATTAGTGTTCTCTCCTGACTGGTGTTAGGATTGACAAAAACGTAAAAAGCTTCGCACAACTGCCTCTTTAGCTTACTAACCAACATTTTACTTGATAGTTGAGTTGACTCGTGTTGGCTTAGCCTTTTCTATTTCTTGCAGGCTACAACATTACCTCGAGTTTTCGAGGTAAGTACACTCAGTTCCCTCGCAAACAGTCTCGTATACACAGTCATACTTAAGAAAAATCCCTTTGGAATAGTTACTTAAGAAAATGCCTTTCGGATTTGAGTAGTTTCTTCTCTATACTATGGGACTCCGGCACAACTAATTATGAACATTTTTCCAGTGACCCGCCGGCTACTTCAATCTGCTTTTCTCATAATTTAACGTTTCCTTTACAAAATGTAGTATGATTTTTTTAGCCCGACTTTCATAATTAACTCAAACAGCTTATTTTTTTCATTTCTCTGTTTTTCTAAAATACCAACAGATTATGGTTATTCTGTAAACCAAATTTGAAAATTGAGGTTAATCAATGTGATCAAATTTTCAGGTAACATTTTCTAGGATAATCTTTTCCTTTAGTCTCCT